TTCACGGAAAAATCTGTTATAACGTACGTACTGACTTTGTATGGATAATAACCGTAGGTTTCTACAAAACATGTTTGATAAACTTAGATAATGAGTTATGATTAACAACTATTATGAATTATGGTGCATACACTTATACGAGTATATAGGTAAATTTTAATTTTTAACAATAAAATATGAAAATAATTCTATGAAAATTGTGATATGATACAAAACGATTAAATAAACGTTATACTTAACCTACTACGATCAAATTAATTTTTACAGAAATAAGAATAATTTAAACATATTGTCGTAAAAAAACAAAAGCACGTACTATAAACCCGTTGTTAATTATGTAAAATGAAACATAAAATATTTACGCATCAGGCATCACAATTGATTTTTAAATATATAAGTATAATAACTGATTTAAACCCTCGTTCCGTTATGATTCTAAACAGTTTAACGGATAACTTAAATGGACATTAAATTCTGAAAATTAATTTTTAGTTTAGAGTATTTATATATTTTACATTATTTTTGTTTGACCTAGTAAAACAATATTGCGTAATACGTATTATAAAACAAATGTGTATACACATTTATTTTTCTTCCTAAATGACTTGGTAATGCGAATATAATTTCTAAAAACTAATTGTAAATTTTGTTTCGATTTGAATATATTTTCAACTTCAAACATCTATTTTATTTTCATCATAGATAACAATAAATAACATTGTTACCATTTTTTTCTTATTTATTAAACAAATATAAAAATAGAAATGTAGATATATTTATTGATAATTAGTTAATTTGGGAATTTTTTACTTTTGATCCCAAAATACTAACTGGACCAAATTTCGTACTAGAAACTGCCTCCAAAGTTGAAAATTGAGAATTTTCGCTGTCTCTAAAGGTGATTATATATAGACATAAAAAAACCATAAATTATTTTAAAATCAATACATTCATTGCTCCGATTCTAATTATAGAGTTTTTTAATTTTGATATTTAAGTAATATTTTACATACATTAAATTATTATCTATAAGTAAACGTCATACTTTAAGTTTAGGACATTGATAAAAAGAAATGGAAAAATCTTGGTATTTTTTTTTACATTACATTTTCATATCTACCAATAATACAAATTAACTGTTTCGACAAAAAAATTAAGCAATTAAATTATTGAGTAGATTTCTATATTATTTTAGAAATTAAAAAACAATACAATATTAAAATTGTATCAAATTATTTATGATTTAAATGGAACACCTATGTTTTATATTTTGTAGTTTATAATATTAAAAGTTTTTATAGGTATTCTGTATGCATCTTTTACGAATAATTTGTGTTTTCACTTTACATACAATCGATTACGGAATTCGTGTAGTTCCTTTCGTATTATTTTGCTAATCGTAAATATACGTATACCATCTAAAATGTTCATGGTCCACTTTAGAGAAAAATTTCTTTACAAGATATATATAAATAAATCATCGACTTTTTTCAGGAATTAATTAATTATAAACAAGCGATAATCTATTACCTGTGATAAGCGTTTATCACATAATAAGTAAAATCAAATATGGTTGAGAATTACAGCTCTATTTAATAAAATACCTAGTCTTTAATTTTCGAATACATATATTTATAAATCGGATCATGAGCAAAAATAAAAAATGCGTTAAATATACAAATTGTACCTATCTCGAGATTACAGTCAATAAAATATCTAATATCAGTATTCTGATAACTAAATATAAATATTAAAATAAATAAAAAAGACCTTTTTATTATTTATATTCAAATATACAAACGCTTTCGTCGTCCGATAAGATATATAAGTTGTATACAATTTATATTTTATAGTATCGTTAAAAAAGATGACGTCCAAACTTTATTGCGTCTTACGCAGCACTTGCCTGCGTCCATCTACAATAGTATTATCATTCGAGTTACGATATTTTTCATAACTTGCAACGATTTCGTCTTTACGAGCCAAAGTTGTTACGGCTATCGAATTGCGCGTACGTTATGTATATAAATAATAATTCACTCAACTAAACTCGGAGATCCGTACGTGCTATAAAATACTATTTACTAAATAATATAAGTATATAAATTGGACACAAAGATGACAAATAAAATACTAAAATTTAACGAGTAGATTTAATATTATATACGATAAAAATATTATATACAAAGATATTATATAGGTCATATTTATCCTGGCACTGCGTACGATTTTTACACGAAACCCATTACCTATTTATTTTTAATTTGTTAAGTACACAATACCGTTTAATGATCAATTATGCATTTCGTTTTTTCCATAAAACTTTGGATGAAATCATTAAGGTTTTGTGCAATATTTTTCCATCGGTGATACGATTGAATCGAGTCAGTGAGACGAGCTGTATGCCTGTAACAATGGTACAACTTATCCTTTAAAGAAATATATTCATCATAATGACGACGGCTAAATTTTTTTCTAAAATATTATTTTACTTACATGTAAATCTAGCTATAGTTTTTTTAATTGGGTAATTACTTATTTTAAATGTTATAGTTATTTGTTCATATACGTTTTACATTTAACTATTTATAGTAAAGCTGTGGACAATTGACACGGTTTAAAAAATATATATTTAATGTTATGACCCATTAGATTATTACACGTAAAAATATTTACGCAATTTACATGACTAGACAACATGTATGTCGTGTGTTATGACTGATGAGTTATGAATAAGTCAAATTGGACGTAACTAATTGCATTATCCATTACAATTTACGTAGCTCGAAATATTATATCGACAATTAAATGAGAAATAAACTACACTATACGTATTTGTTTCATATTCTTGTTAAGACGTTTGATGATACAATTAATTTTGCCATAACTGATGTCCCATTATAAATAAATATTTTTAACGCATTCAAACATGAATTGTACTTATTAAATATATAGGTATTTTAGATTACATTTATTTAATTGAAAATCATGAGAAAACAACAAGTTAAAAAAAGCGTATAATGTTATATTTTACCTAGTATTTAATTTTTTTATTAAAATTTATAAATATATAACCTAGATAATTCAAAATAAAAACAAAAGTTTTAAAACGCTTTTACAAAGAAAATTAGATGAAATTAAGCAAATGTGTCGTAAAGCCTATAGTTTAATAAATAGTCCAATATAATTAACCATCATCGTTATCAACACTTTATGGAAATTTTGAATCAAAAGTGGTATCTAAATCATTATCTTAACTGTCTCAATTTATATTAATATAATATTAAATATAATTATATAAAGCATTATATTACTACTTTAACGGGTAGATAAACATTAAGAATTTAAGGTGTTATAATGCACCTATATGTTTCGTATAATTTTTCATATAATGTATAAATTGTAAATTTATGAGCTAATAAGTAATAATGTTTACCTTGGTTTTAAGTTGAAACGTCGCAGATATTTGACTATAACCAATCAACATGATGTTTGAAACATCTATAATCAACATTTAAGAAAAAAACTGTAGATAAGGGTATATAGAAATATTAGAAACGAAAAAATACAATTTAGATAAGATAATTTAATGCAAAATTACTATGTATTAATTTTTAATGAGAAACAGTAAACACGAGATAAAACAACGGAAGAGTTGTTAAATTATCTATCTAGGTCGATTGATATCATAGAAAGAAACGATATACTAACTACGTATTATGCCTATATCATAATTATTTTTTATCGGTTATAATGTAATACAAGTGTATAAATACCAAATTAACATTATAATTTATAGTGATGGTATAGTAATAACTTATTTTTGATTTTAATCGTTCGCAAAAATTCTTATTTTATTTTCAGCAGAATACAAATTGATTTTTTTGTTTGCCACTAGACTTAAATAAAATTGTTACATAGTATTTGTTAAATATTATCAGACCGTAATATATTTAGAACCATGCCTATATTATAGAAATATAATACAAATTTAGAATAATTTAACTTGCTGGACGTATAATAGTTATAACGTTAAAAGAGATTTGGCGATAAAAAAAATATTTAATTAAAGTTTAGCTGGTTCGAATAACTTAAATATTTTAAATTTAAAAGTAACGTATTAATTTTTCAATTAATCAATTTAAGATGATTTTGAATCGTCATTACTAGAAAAATATTTTTTATGTTTTTCCCTATACAATATGAACGTATAAAGTGCTAAAGTGCTAACTGCTGACAATAGTAAAGGGCAATGTATGTTCAGAAGATTTAAATATAACACGATGATTAGACACAATATTATATTTTATGTATATTAGTTCGGTTTATTGAAGTCTATTCAACGCGTATCGGTTAGACAGAAATATTAATTCGCTCATCCTTGAATTAATGTAACAAAATACACGAGATTTTTTCGATCGTTCTAGGTTAGGCTATAGGTCGTACGATGCTCGCTTTTATAGATCATTTCAGGTTATTAACTGCGTGTATTACATCCACGAACGAAACGAAATTAGAGGACGTGACAGTGAACCGGCCGAGGATGATGTCACCACAATATACGAATTATGTGGGATACGTCGCTGATCCATTATTTTCGATCGATTTTTTTGTTTCCTCCCCCATGATATGATTCACACCGATTTCGCCGAAATCTACGCATCGATTCGTCCGCATGGGTGTTTATCATTACCCGGGACAATTAACGTGCGGAATTAGGACGCGACCTAGAAACCACGGCAGTGGCTGATACACATGCTCACCCGACCCGTGTTGGACAGCGTTATCAGCAATAAACCATGTTGCGGAAGTTTCGCGTCGCCAGACCCCGGCGCCTCATCCGCTATCACAATCATCGTCGTCGTCATTAACATTGCCGCCACCGTCGTTATTATTATTAACATCTGCCGGCGCACAGACGGCCGGCCGGCAAGGCCCGGAGCCGACCATGACCTCGGTATTGGTCGAAAACATACGCGGACGCGATGCGCGCGATCGTGATATACGACGCGAAAAACCGACGAAAAAAAATTCCGCGTCGGGTAATATAAATAGTCGCGTCCGGTGTAGATTTATCATCAGTGCAGTTCACCCGATCGAACAGTCGACACACATCGTCGTCAGCGTCCGAAATCCGAACATTTTATTCGATTTCTGTGTTCATATCATAATATTATAATATAATATAATAGCGTCATCCGTCGGGTGTTCAGAAACCGTCATATACATACACATAATATCCAACCATGTGGAACGTCTTGTGTGTGATGATCGTCGCGGCGCTGGTCGGACCATCTTACCAGCGGGCACCGGTGAGTGGAGACAAACTCGTGATATTCGGTCAATCGATTAACAATTGATTTTTATTTCGACGATGTTTCGCTGTTTGTATTGACACTTGTGCGTGTGTTGTTTTTAAGGTATTCATCACGCCCAATCACTCCGAAGGCAAACCCGGCGAACTCAGTCAAGCAGCGTTTGCGGATTACATCAACTGGTGGCAAAACATCATCGGCATCATTAACCATAACGAAGAACCCGCCGCTGAGCCGCCAATAACGCCAATAGATCAGTCCACGTGCGCCCCGTGCAGTAAGTACTGAGACAATATAAAGTTATAAGTCAATCGAAAGTTCGTGTTCGTCGTATTAGACTTACATCGAACACAAAGCGGGCCGCGGTGTTTTTTCGCTAAGGACGACCACGTAGAGAAATAGGGGGGGGGGATTGGCCTTTTTGTTTTACACTTATCTCCGTGTGTTCGTAATATATGTATATTATTTTGTTATTTAAGCTTGCGGAGCTTTGGGTAAGAAAAACAGAATCGTCGGTGGCACTCCCACGTACGTGCATCAATACCCGTGGATGGCCATGCTCACGTACAAGGGCAAATTCTACTGCGGTGCTTCGGTTATCAATCACAAATATGTCATGACAGCCGCCCATTGTGTTCACGGGTAAGTATATATATATATATATGTATATACTATAAAAATACGTCGTATACGATTCAATTTTTAACGCTACAACGGTTCGTAAAGCACATATTCGAACGACGAGATACATATTATAATAAATTTCAACTCACAGTGGGATGTTTTATAAACCTTAAGCAATCCGCCTAACAGTTTTATTTCTTAAAAGCTTTTAAAAAGTCTAAATAATTTTCGTCGAGTGAGTTCAAATCAGATCGACAGAGCTATGATTATCGATCATTAAGTTTCGAAATCTCCGTGGATTTAAAATAAAAAAAATCTTTTAAAAAGTACGAAAGTATATAATTTGATTTTAACCATAATATTCAATAGTGTACTGTTAGTCGAAACAATTTTTAAAATTCGTCTGGAATTCAATTTGCGTAGTATTGTCACGTTATATAATTATATTATGTACAGCTGTGACTTGATGGATTATATTTTTATTTTCAATTATTTGTATATATTTTCGCCGAGTTTGCATGTACATAAATAACATAGCTGTTGTTCATAATTATTTAACGAACATCGAATACAATGTTCCGAACGATTTTGCACACAGGTTCGAAGCGAAAAACATAGGCGTGCGACTTTTGGAACACGATCGCAGTAGTACAGAAGAAGCTAAACACCTTGACTTCAAAGTGTTGAGAGTGATTAAGCACAAGGGCTATAGTCCGACGTCTTACAACAACGACATCGCACTGTTGCGAATGGACACCGATGGGGTGGAATTCGGACCCAACACCGGTATCAATCCGGTCTGTCTTCCTGTCGAAGGTAACGTATTCGGACGGGTTATGGTCGGCTTGGGATTGTACTTAACGACAAGGTCCCACCGATGCGTCTATAAACATTGTATGACCGTTTTCCGTTTCAGGCAAGAGTTTCGCTGGTTACGATGGCGTCATCACCGGTTGGGGAGCGAAGAAACAGGGAGGCTCGTCGTCGCAGGTATTGCACGAAGTCTACGTGCCGATCATGAGCAACGACGATTGCAAGAAGACGGAATACGACGAGAAACGCATTACGGCCAACATGATGTGCGCCGGTTATTCGGAAGGCAAAAAAGACTCGTGCCAAGTAATGATTCGTTATCAAATGTATTTCCCGCAAAAATACCCATTTTGAGTAGCGTTTGTTTGGCGGGAGGGCGCGCTCACGTAAAACCGATAGCATCTATTACGTGTTGAAATAATTACACGATTATCGCAGGTACAAAGGGTTTGGCCGGAAACCGTGTCTAATTATAAAACAGGAAGCGATGACTACGGTTTTCGCACACGTCGCGAGATTAGTTGGCTGGGGTGGTATGTGTTTTCCGACGCGTCACGAACAGTGTTTTTCAAGCGACAATCGTATTATTATTACCACAATAATTATTATTGCGCATCGTCGTCACATTATACATCGAGGCGGGTGTTTACGGTTATGAATACACGGGCACGCACCCGTAAATCACACCCGTCGTTCCTCGAAAAGCGTTTGAAATCCTACTCACGGTCGCCCAAAGTTCGTTAGGTACGTCCCTAGAATAAAACGCGGTTCGCCGATTCCCGTTTATAATTAATGTGCTTCCTACGCGCGTGAATATTATTATTATTGTTATACTTATGTACGTTGTGGCTGCGAATTTCATTCATTCGGCATGGCTGAATCTGACGTTTTCAGACTTACAACAGTGTAATAATAATAATAATATTAATACTTTATCGAGTATCTACCCAGTAAACGGAATAATAGTATTACAATAAAACCTGCTTCTGAAACAATAGAAACGTTCGACGCAGGACTCAGTTAAGATACAACGCCCACGACGTTATAATAATATTATATGTACATATATATTAATAATTATTGATAATAACAAAATAATTGAATAGTTTTGTTTAACAAATTCGGCGCGCCACGGTTGAAGTTTTCGCCCGGTTTCCTACGGGGTCATCGGTATAGGTAACAGACTGACGAGTGCTGTCAAAACTTTTAGTATACGTGTAATATTATGACCGTCGTGATCTGTTGCGCGCTTCAGGAAATGTTCGCGATACAAGTTGGAGTCCAGAGACTTTGGAACGCGAAATATTTCACTGTTCTTGATATAGATCATTGAAAATTAATTTATTTTCGATTGTAGCAATCGTTGTATTTTTTTTTTTTTTTTTTTAATATTACCGAGTAGTTTTCTGTACCCAGGGTCTTAAATTTCCGTTTGTGTTCGCAGGGTGACAGCGGTGGCCCAATGCACATCGCCAACAACACGGCTTACCACATTGTCGGTGAGTGCAGTACAAATTATTCATCGAAATACGTGAATACTGGTACAATTTCCGGTTTAATTAATTTTTTTTTTTTTGTTTGTGTTTCCAGGAGTAGTATCCTGGGGAGAAGGATGCGCCCAGGCCAACCGACCCGGTGTGTACTCCCGGGTGAACAGATACCTGAATTGGGTGGCCAACCATACGACGGACGCCTGTCCATGTTCGAACATTTACACTCCGTCAGAATAATTCGTCTTCAACCGTTGTTGCAGTACTCAACTTGCAGAACACCATACGCACGATGAACTTTTATTTGGATCTCACATTATCGCGACTCGCTATTATAAACGATATCATATCATTATTATATTATTTATTATTTATATATTTATTGATCATATAATTTATTGCAACACTATTACTATTATTTATTATTATAAATGTATTTATTGATTTCATAATTATTTATTGCAACACTATTATTATTATTATTATTATTATTATTTATTACACTAAATTATATAAATGTAAGATTGGCGAGTCAGAAATAAACAAATATAACATTTATATTATAAAAAAACGTATATTTTATTATACAATATTATTTCCTAATACGACGATCCAAACATTTCAAACGGATTTCGAGGTACATCGACCGTGTTTCCATTCTGCCAAAACGAATAATGCGACGATTAAAACTTCTTGTCGTAATTAACGGTTAATAGATTAAAATGAGAAAACGTTGATCTCATGCGTAAACACGGGGAAATGGAAAATTATTAATAATCTAACGCACTATACCATACTATACCAGATCAATTTTTATATAATCGTCGGAAAATAACTATCATCTACACTATTGATCATTATTAGTATTTAACGCGCAAACATTATTACACACGTACAAATTGTTGCCGATGTAGAACTCCTCCAATTTCGTATAAAAACGTACACGGTTTTCGTGTGTCTACTGTATCGACTATAGGACGGTGACCCGACAACCGATAAGCCGTAAACCCATAGACCAGACAGTTAATGAGCTGAAAATTGAAAATTTTAACGCAAAAACAACGACTGATTGTATCGATAGTGTCCAAACATTTCGTGAGCCGCCATTAGATCATAACCGTACACCCGAAGCACACAGGGCAACAGTTAAACATTTTTGAGCAAACGTAAAAAAAGCATACTTGACACGTGATAAACTTTTACAAATATTACTAAAAGTTATTAGTAATATACATTTGTGTATTCAACCATATTTACCTCATCTTGAATCTACCCGAAAAATTATTATACGCAGAAAGAGAAAATAAATAAACGTTGAAGACATTATTTACAGTGTTAAAAATGTAAAAGATTTATTAGATAAAAAAATTAAAACAGTTATGAACATTTTTTATTTTAAATCTATTATTCTTATAGTGTTCTAATTTTATTGGTTTGTGTTTAACGATTATTTATTTAAAAAGGCAATATAATTCAGTTAAGGAACCCACAACCAAACTTTTTGCAAAGTTTCAAAACTTTTCGATCCCAGAAAAATTCGTTAAACGGCTCGACTAGTATATTCTATTAAATTTAAAATTAAACACGAATTCATATTCTAAAAATCACATATTTATATATTTTAGTAATAGTGACATAGGAGAAAATTAAAACGCGGCCGAAAAGACCTTGGCGCGACTAACGCCGGGTTAAAGTTATTCTAATGGTGTGGTAATGCCAATGAGCACGCGCGTACAATTATTGGTTATTTCTATAGGTACCACTATTTGTAAGAATTATGTCATAGTAATGTGTTACCGAATTCATACAATCGGCAAGAAAAAGTCTGCCTAATTCACGAAATCAACACTAAAAATCTGTCGATTTCGTGAATTTTGTGGTAGCCAAGTTGCCGATTTCACGTTTTCTTCGGCAACAACGTTGTTGATTTCATAAAATCGGCAATTTTTCTGTCGATTTCATAAATTCGGTGTAACATATATAATAATATATGTTGCATCCATATCGCGTAATTGTACGTTTTGCGAAATGGACAGAGTGTACATCCATTTTGCGAAACGGAAACGCTTTTTTTTTCCACTTCGCGTAGTTCCGCTATGCGGATAACATTTCACGGAATGAATACCTAAACTGCACGCATAGCAGAACTAGTTCCGTCATCCGAACGAAAACTTAGCGTAATTATATTCATAATTGTATGAAGGTATACCAGGACTATAATATTATAAACTGTATACCAACATTTATCATTATTTTGAACATAAAGAATTATAAATTGTCAGTTGTTATTCATATTTATTTTCGTATCCGAGTTTGAGTGTTACTGCTGTGTGACTTCTCTCTTCACGTCTTAAAGTTTATTTATTTCATTTACATATGCCTATTGTAAACACTATTAAGAATTGTATATATTTCAATAAATATTAAAAGAAAAGAAAAAAAAATTATATTTAATATTTATTCAAACATAAAATAAAACTATTATGACATCTAGTCCATCTAGAGTTGTATTTTAAATTGGCCTTAAAACAAGCATACTATTTTGTTTAGAATTTCTTTTTACAATAGTAAATAAAAAAACCTTGTCCTCCCGTTAATGAAGGCATAGTTTTTCTTAATGTTCTCTCGACTTCACGTTTCACTTGTTCTAATTTTATAAAATTTTATAAAGCTGATTGCAAGTTTTCTGCACCATATCAGCCTTTAATAATTCAGTGTTCGGTTACTAATTAATTAGTGTTATTTTTTTAGTCAACGAAATAAGTTTAAAGTAATTAAACATTATTTTTAGCGTGCAATATTTTTATTTTTCATTTCGTTAATTGTATTAATTAAATTTACCTTTAAAAAACAGCTATAACCTTACTAATAATGGTAATATTAATATTTAAAAAAAAAAAATGTTTTAATAAATCCTATAAGTTTATTTTATAAGTACACCGAAAGTGTAAACAATTTGAAAATCATAAATAAATGTGTATTTAAGTATCCCTTAGGCTTTTTAAAATATCCACTTAAATAAGTTAATACAAAGTTATCCATCTAAGATATTTAGTGGTACCAGTATAATCATGATTATACTGTATAAAATATTTGTTATTAATTAATAGTTAATATCTTTGTCGTTATTGCCCTTTTTTTTTTTTTACTAATCAAGTACTATTTTTTGCCCACAGTCAAAACGTCATATTTTTCTAATAAATAATATTCTCGTCTGAATTTTTTTTACTTCTAAGGAAAAATGAATAAGTAGGTACACATTTCTAATAATAAAAAAATAAAATAAAATATTTTATAAATCTTTAACTACGAGAACTACAATAATATGTGAAGATTATCTACTATAGTGGTAATATATCATATTATAGTATTCATTATAATATCTACCAACAAATACCGACCAAATTACCTATGCAGTTTTTTTTTTTTTTTTTTTATAATAGTAAGACAGTAAGTATTTACTTATCAGCTTTAATTCACAATATATCTTGAATAATTATATTAATTTAATCAAGGCTGTAGGATTTCTTAGCAGGTTTATTCAAATAGCATAAGTTAAATTTTAAATAAAATTCTGTTTTTTCATTAAATGCTTCCGTGTTTTAGTTGAAATATAAACAACTAGAACACTAGGTAATAGTACACCAAACAACTGTCAAAAAGGTAATAAAATAGTTTCTGTACTGAAGACACAAGCACGAGTTGACCAATTTTATTATACTATAAGTACAGATAAGAGTTAAGATAAGTACGGCGATAATTTTATATTATACCAGCTAGTCATTATAAGATCACTATAATAGTAGGTATTACTATGATCTAAATAATAAAAAAATACTGTAGTGTTATAGTAATAGTTACACTGATTTAAGTATTTTATACAAGGTAATTCATTTCACATAGAACAAAGTTCATAATATAGTTTTGATAATACCTACATGTAATTATGAATATTGTTTCGCTAAGTGTTTGTCCAGATGACGGAACTATTTCCGTTATGTGTATCCACATAGCGGAATTACGCGAAGTGGAAAATAAGCGTTTCCATTTCATTAAATAAATACAAACCTTGTCCATTTCGCGAAACGTACAATTACGCGACATGGATGTGACATTTATGTATATAGCAAATATAGTTGGATCACGTAGACCAACTATAAGCTCTTGTCATCGTCGACATATCTCGTTGCCATATTATGAATATTGATATTTCATACACATAATAATAATAATAAAGGATTTTTAAATTATGTTAATAGTAATAAAATTTAAAAATAACCATCCTTTAGTAATAATAATAAAATTTCATTGTTTTTTGAATAATCATAAAACCATTCAAAAAACACAATTAATATAAGCACTATTAAATTATTTAATAAATTAGTTTTTTATTTAAGAAATTAGTTATTATTTGAATTTATACTAGCTTAAATGTTTTTAACATTGGTAGGTTGCTGTAAAAATATATTATGAGTGAACTTGTATTAAACTTTTGAAAAAAAAAAAATATTGTCACGTATAAACCTAAAAAGAAATTGAATTTATTTACTTGTTGTCATCATTCATCACTATAAAATAATTTTGAACGCAATACTCTTGATACTTTTATAAAAAAAAAAAAAATAATAAACATTAAAAAGTCGAAACTTTCAAACACTTACAATTATCATAAATCTTCGATTATAAATGTTGGATGTGGGTACCACTTATAATCATGTTTGAACTTCGCGTCTGGTAAAAACACTTTTTGATGAGATCTCAGGTTTTGTAAACCTTGCTAAAAGTTTTTGTGTTAATTAAACAATTTTCGTGTTATGATTTGTTTTTCTTTTTAAGATTCGATTTTGTGTTTTGCATAATGCTATACGTACTAGCGATTTGATGGATTATTTTTGTGTGGATTTATAACTATATTTGTTTACGATAATATGATATAGAAAATAAAAAACACTATTTTTTTCATATTTTTTCAATTATTTTAGATCATATAAAACGAAAAATAATCTTACTATAAACAACAGAATATTTTCATAGTTTAATTTTAGTTATTCGTTTTTTAAATTATTATTTTATCATAAAAATATTTTATCCAATCGAGTATGAAAACTTATCGTTTATTACCATCAAAATTAAGTTAAATGCCAATTCATAAAACTCCGTCCTACTATTTTACAATTTCAGCCATTTTGTTCTTTTCATATTTGAGTAGTGAAAACGTATGATGAATTGATGACGTACACAATTTACACACTAAAGACGACTTCTGCATAGTCTTCACAAATTTAGTTCTCTCAATAAATGTATCCCATATTTTCATTATAAATGTTTCACCGCCGCATTGCAATCATAATATTATTATTTGCTATTTTAGAAATTAATTAGTTATAATAAATAATTATTCTATCGTTTTAACATTTATAAAAATATATTATTATGTGTAAGCACAAACCGAAAAACGAACTGCATTTCTAACCGGCGTACGTACTGTTCGATAAAAATAACCAATTAAAAATAAATTATCGATACAATACATAACTACTTTTTCGTATTGGACTTAAAGTGCTCTTTCTTATTTCATTATTTACAAGTCGTATGGTGCTTGAAAATACCAACATAATGACTCGGTTTTCGAAATGACAAACAGAAATACTTTTACGGTCGCAACAAACAAAACGAAGGATATTTTATTATTATTTTCACATCGTGGGTGGAAGTTCATAATATTGCTGTTTTCGTCCAATTAAAAAATAAAAACGGTAAAAACTTATTAACATTTAAATTTAGTCATTTTTCTTCTCTGCGTGATACGTTAGTTAAATGATACAATAATGAATAAGTAATTTAAAACAAAAATAATAAATTGATTTAATCAAGTCAATTTAACGTTCAGAACATTAATTTTAACTCAATAATTACCAAATAATATAGATATATCGAATAACCTTCTTGATAAATTCATCTGTATAATATGTTTTCTTTACAAGTGTTTCACACCATGGAAATGAAGGAAAAGGCTAATTAAATACTCCAAAAGTTCTACATGACTATCGTCTTTAAAATTACAATATGCTGAATTGCGTATAACCGTTATTAGTACTTTATCGAAAGAAAACCTCATATTGTGAAAACTAATAAACAATCTAAAAACGTCTATGTTATTTCAGACAAAAAGAACACTTAAAATTATTTTCATTTTCAATGAAAAGCATTTTGCTTAAGCTTTCCAAACAAATTCTTATAGTCACGGAGAATTTTACTTACCAAATCTATCTTGTTGAGATAATTATTTGTCTAAAAAATTACTGTCATCATCGTCAAAGTTAATCAATTTTCTAAACAAATTTCAATGATTATAAGAACGTTAAATTGTGAGCCTAAAGAACCGACAAATATAATATGACATAATCTTTGTAGTTTATTCATTACCTGTTTTTGTTTTAATTGTTCGTTTAGTTCAATAATTTTTCCCTGTAATATAGTTCAAAAAATTACGTAATTAAAATATTATTATACGCATTAATTAATGTTAACGGCCTTGTGCATGGATTAACTCCTTCATAACATTGTAAGTTGATTTTTTTTTAGATGGATCCGAAAAAATATTGTCAAAATTAACTGCAATTTTTAAAGTTGTCTGTCATATTATTATCGCTTTTATAGCATTGAAAAGTTTTAAAATTTAATAGTCTACGATTGTGAAGTGCTGTCGACTACGACTGCAATGACGCATGGTCGCGGGGGTAACGATAATATTATGTTTTCAAAGTAATAATATGTGACTGTTTATTATAGAAATTAACTACATCTATATATTTGCAAAAGTATTTTTTTTATTTTACATTTTGGATCGAACACGATAGTTCAATTAATTTAATTTACATAAACCGTCCGACGGTGTCTACGGAATACGACAAATACGTACTGAACGCAGGTATACGTATCGATAGTACATTTAAATATTTAAATATTTAACCTATGTTTTCCGAATACCAGAGGTTACAGCATGCAGCTTTATAGTTCATATATGACACGAAAAGATCGCATGCCGGGGAATGTATTTTCTGAATTATTGACATAATATCTAATAATATTTCGGTCGATTTATTCTTGTAAATTCTGTTTTAAATCCTTTTTACGAGTATTTTGTTATGTGCATTCTAATGTTTTTTTTTTTCTTAAGTAAACGTTCATTTGATGTAATCAATTCATTGATGTCGAAAAAACAATATAAACAGATACGATATTTATTAATAAAATTATTATAAAATTAAAATAATAAAAATAGTCGGAACGATCAAACACTGTGACGTTTTTCCGTTTGTGGACTTCTAGGTTTTCTTTCGACCCAAAACGTTTCCATTTTACCTTTTCCCTAAAAACAAAAACAATATTATGATTTCTCATAGCATCGAAAATATGCGTGTGCTCGTTATTAAACTTCAGCACATAATAATTCTTTTGTTGTTGTGTGTTTTACCTTAACGGTCACGAGTCCCCTTGACGTCAACTTATACATATTTTGTGGTAAAAGCCGCTTGGTCGTGATGGAGATATGAATTTTTCCTGGCTGAACAGATAAAATAAACGGAATACAAAATAAAGTTGAAATAACGCACCGATCCATTTCGACTCAGCGATGGACGTGAGCAGAAAATTGGTATAATGATTGTATTATCTGTAGATACATAAAATAATAGACCGATTTCGAATATCGAAATTCAGTTTGACGCTTACCTGACTGGTGGTTTGCATCCTTGACGCCGTATTAACCGTGTCACCAAACAAACAGTACCGTGGAACTTTCATGCCAACCACTCCGGCGACGACAGGACCCGAATGAATACCTAACATATTTGTACAGAATTACTGTGTAATTTATGTAAGGTAAAATATACAGAATGTTTGTACTCAACCCATTTACCGCCTAATTAAAAAAAATTTTAAACGACCATATGATAATTACTATAAATAGAATTTATGATTTCATTTTTAAAATATTAAATCTTTAAAACTATTAAACTATTAACAAACGCAACGATTAGTTTTTTTTCGGTTAAAAAAAAAACCACAAATAAAAAAAAAAAAAAAAAAAAATGTTAAACATTTTATTAATTGTGAATCGCTGTCAACAAAGTACCTACTAGTTTTCCAAAACTATGTTTAAAAGAAATTATTGGCAATGATCAACACGGAGAAACGTCTCGTATAATACGACCAATGAAACGTTACAACGCACTATTAAATCGATCGAAAAATAATGATTTATGAAAACCAAATATGTACTTCAAATCGTGATAAAAATATGTATATATTACGCCGGATTTATGAAATTGGCGGAAAAATTACCGATTTTGTGAAATCAAATTTTGATTGCTGATTTCATGAATTAACCAGACGTTTTCTTGTCGACCGCTCGAATTCGGTAACATATTATTACGACATAATTGCAAATAAAACGGTAACCAATAATCATACACGGTACCACACCGTTATCTTTAACGTGGCGTCAGTCGCGCCGCGGTATTTTCGACCGCGTTTAATTTTTTATCTATGTCACTGCATGTCACTGTATTAAGGATTCTGAGCACATGACTGGAGCGGAACAGTTTGGCTGCTAAAAAGTACTGTCCTCTAACGGCTGCAGGCGTTCAACCAAATTAATGTTTTTTTACAGGATCTTGTTCGATTAGGATCAGTATTAGGACCGAACAAGGATATCGACGTTGTACCTGCCGTACGAATCGCACACCAAAATAATTTACATGCAGGAAAAATGACATGATCTGTAATTCGGCGTGCCGCCCTGGCCGTAGTTGCCATTATATATAAATATAATAAAATATGTATAACTCGATAGATACACTAAATATTATAATTTTATGACTTTCGATTTTTTTTTTTTTTTATACTTTTTTGTATACATTATTTTTTATTACAATTAGATTTTATTATATTTCCAGTCTTATATATAATATCATGAATACAACACATTCGTTTATATTGAATTATATTTTATTATATTTCCAGTCTTTTATGTAATATCATGAATACAACACATTCGTTTATATTGAATTATATTTTATATATATATATATATATATTTTAAGAAGGGTCTTGCCGATTTCACGCAATTTACAGTATTAAGTACTTTTAAGTTGCCGATTTCACGTTTTCGGCCACAGCATTGCTGATAATCAGCAATTTAATAAATTTGGCGTAACATGTATACTGAATTTTATATGTTTAATTGTCTAATAAATGCTAATATGGGAGGTAGCAATAATATTACACTTCAAGTTGTGGAACAAACCGAAACCTCATAATATATAATAATTTAAAATAACAATTATATCTGATAGTGCCATTTTTCAACTCTTATTAATGTTTTACTATTCGATGCATTATTGAACTCTTTCGTGTTTTTATTTTAGTATACTTCACCCCAGTTATATAGTTTTGTATAGGTGGGACGGATAATTTCATGTTCAGGGAGTGGGACTACAGAAAACGACGCGAATTTCGTATTATAACAACAAAAATGCACGGAAATAATATTTATTCCGTAGTGATGCGGCGTATAGGAGTGTATGAGTATGCCTTATATTGCCGCAGTTCTACAGCTAATAGCGCTTTTATTTGAGCTTGGGGTGACCGGAGCAATATTAACAACGACGACGGCGATGATAACGATTATTATAAAACCAATAAATCTTAGCCCAACTATAACAGACGATAAAATATATAACACTATTATTAAGTTTTGATACCTATTTTGATCTGGATCTTAATATTGCACGGGAATTGCAAGTCTCTAATATTTTCCGCAAACTCTAAGCTCAAGTCGGTGACGTTGCGCGCGTGCTCTCTCGTATACTCGGGAGCTCCGCTAACGGCCATGTACACTTGGTTAACGGTTTCCACCTGTATTTGAGAAAATAAACGAACAAAATGTAATTAATATGCACCCCGGAAAACGTGACAGATACCATATCGAATTGAATTAAACGTTACACGGCGGCAGAGGCGACATAAGCGTCTCAGATTATCGTATTAATTTTACAAACCACGCGATTTGCACGGCTCGCACGACTTAATACGGGTTTATGTATTTAAAAAACATAATTAATATATGCAATATTATTCGTCAAATTTGTTTTATCGATTAACATTATTCATAGTATAAATATTATACAACCATATACACTACGTATAAAGTATTGAACGACATTAATATATTATGATATTATAGTAACGTATATGCGTTAAAAGATATACACGCAGGATTTTCTGTTAATAATTATCAATTTTTTTTTTTTTTTTTGTAAATTTAAAATTGTAACTGAGTGTAGGTACTATAATATAATACACATATTTTAACGATAGGGTATGTACTGTTATTATTATACTGGTGTAGTGACGCACACGCCTAAAAATTTGCTTTTTTATAGTATAAATATATATTAATTTCATTAAAATATTAAGTTTATTTCACGTTTTGTTCTTTTTTCGATTTAAATTTTATAAATATATTTTTACGTACACTGTACGGTCTACAAATAATGATAAACCAAAAAATTAAAATAACATAATTTATATTACAACACAATGACTATTATTACCTTATAAACGTTAAATCGATCGGTGAGTGAATCGAAGCAGCTGAAAACGGTATTCATACATTCAACGACATCCATAACTCCTTTTATTGTTGCTTGTGGTCTTAGCCCTTCGACTTCACAAAACATTACAGATATCAAGTTAAAAGCCTATTAAAAGAATAAAAACCACACGTAGACATCATTAAATAAATGTTTAAGAAGTATTTATAGTAATTAAGTACTTAAAAAAATATATAAGCCAGTGATTCGATTATTATTTAGAGCAAAATTAAATTTTAGTTAAGAAACCAAGAATGTAATCCCTAAAACACAAATACGTATCAATTAATTGAGTAATAAATATAAAAACATTTTATGGACAATATGATTAGTATACATTTGTAGTAATAGCTTAGTAAGATGGTCATAAACCTGAAAGTAATTTCACAGTTTAAATATCTACCGTGTTGGTTAGACTCAATTTTGGGTCACAATATGTTTCGAAAATGCAATTTATGCAATTCAATCATCGACACAATCACAAACATTATTAAAGAAATGTAAATATTTATCGCAATGATTATTTTTCGAAGTAAAAGTTCAACGATTTAATTTAGTTAATCTTTTATACTGAAGTAATCGTTACGAATCAAATTTCTTACTAAGTACAGTGCTATACTAAAAAATAAAATAAAATTTATCGGTTCATAATTCACAAAAGTTTTAGTACCAATTATTAATAATACGTATATTTCATCGCCCTGAGCACTCACAATTTCATCCACTATAGTGTTGACCTTCCAATAACGTCAAAACATAAAATAAATACGTTCGCGTTGTTTTAGTATAATTTCGAATTGCGATAATCCCGTATAGTGCTAAAACGGCCATGCTGGATTTTGACTGTGCGGATTTTAAAATTTAGAATAGTTTTATTATCTAAACAATTCACGGTATAACGTAATACATTATGTAAATAATAATGTATTTACAGTTGGTATAATCTTCTCATTTGGAAAAATAAATAATAATTAGGTACATATAGCATGATCCCGATAGGCTATTGGATTTTGGAATTAAATAAACGATAACTAATTGATGGAATGAGATAATAATACTCAATATTATAATTTATATTCACTCCACCCCCCCCACACACACCTCCTTTTGAACCATTTTTTTGAATGCATAGAGTTTTAAATTTTGATTGTATTTTAATAAGTTCGCTCGTTTTTTTTTTTAAATTTTATTTTATTGAGTATTTTATTATTATTTATTAGTATATATTAAACAAAAAAAACAAAAATTTAATCAATTAAAATAAATAATTAGAAACTTTGTGTTGTAGTTTATGAGAATTTGCTTTCTGTTGTTGTGAGCTATTACTATCAAACATTGTTAACATTGTGATTCTCTGCGTTTTGCAGTACTTATTCTTAAGTTATCAATCAAGATTCAAGGTATAGTAATGACGTGCAATCGATAGGTAAGTAGGTCGCCGGTATTAGTAAGGCTACTGTTGAATATTACAACAATGATGTTTAATAATTAGTACGTATATTTAAATTTGGGGACATAATACGTAAATTTGATATTTGCCTTGCACGTGTTCATCGTGCTCTGTTCATTTTGTAGCTGATCGGCGACGCTTCTGGGTAACATAGAATACAACAACGAATCACCCTTGCGTTTCCATTTGTCTAACTGTTCGTAGTTGTCTTCTAGATCTTGCGACCACTGTTCCGCTCTTTCAAACATCAATTCCAGCCTAAAAAGTCAATATATTTCACGTGATATAAAAAAAAAAAAAATTATAAAGATAATAAAAATTTTCCGGATTTCATCATGTGTGCATATTATTACATTATGCACATGAGATAAAACGTATAGTATTAAAGTTAACGATGACCAAACAAAAGATGAAAAAAAAAAATTAATTTTTATATACGAACAAAATGCGTCATGAGTACAATAATATTAACATATACAAAGAAACCGTGCAAAATCACAGGCACAACATATACAATCATAGTTCGAAAGACTCTGAATTGTCTTATTACTATATGGTTAAGTAATAACCACCGTTTAAGTATGTGAATAGTTATATTTTGGATTAACAAGGTATTTTTTAGTACATTTTTTGATATTCCAACTTCTGCAAAGTTAGGTATTATTTTTATCGCAACGATATCGGTTTCTACAATGCGCACAAAAAACCAACATTATTTTTTCATCATTTTTTTTTTAGTTCAGAACTAACCGAATATGATGACTTACAAAAACTATTAATTATTAAAATATTCATAGAATATTGTATTTTGTTATAAATGTGTTAACATTCTTTTACAAACTAATAATAATTTAATGTACTTAAAATCATAATCGCATATGTAACACAATATCAAATTAAATCTGACTTTGTACATGCGTAGATTTCACGGAGCACACTACAGTATTTCGAAATGCTTAAAAAGCTTACGGATGATGGATGTTGTCCAAGAGCATACTGCAAAATTCTAGAGTAGCTTATTATTATTAAAAAAAAAAAAAAAAATACACAAAACGATTCATCATAAATTTTGAATTTAAAAATGACATCGTCCTTTCTATGCAAAATATATGATAATACACTTGCCCCAAAATCTTATTTACCCGAGTTTTTTGTACCGATACGTGACGCACGTTCGACATAATATTTAAATATGTTGGTACTCCACGCGAATCCATCATAATAATCGAACACCTCTGTGTGGGTTTGTTATCTGAACACATTTCGTATAACTCGCGTACACGTAAAATATTACAGCCAACGTGTTAATATATTTCATGCGTGTAAATTTTATACGATTTAAAATATTTTCGATTTATCTTTCAGCACACTGTTACAAAAGGTATAACATTTCGTATGTAGGTACAATGAGTAAAACCGTAAATAATTCAAGCGTTAGACTTTCAAAATCACGAGTTAATAAATTCAAAAGTCTAACGGTATAAGAAATACTTTGTTGTTCTATGTAAATATTCAAAGTATTCATCACCGGTGTTCAATGTTCATATACTCTTCTAGTAATGGAATGATGGAATTTCACAAGCCCTAAACAACAAAATTTCGAATATTGCGAGACACTTTTCGTATATGAATATATTATAATATTAAAATATATTCACGTGTGTATTGTATTATATATGTTTAAACTCCACGCGAATCCATCGGGGTATAATCGTATGAATTTGGTCATGGTAAAATTGGTCGTCTAAATTGGTTGTTTTATAAATTGGTCTTTTGAAAAATTGGTCGTTTTCAAAATAATATGTTTATCATATAAAAATTTTATTCTGTCGTAATTTTTCTTAAATGAACATGTAAAAATATGTGTGAAAAGTATTATAAATTATTATGAGCTATCCCTGATATGAATTCATCAACTAATGTTCTATTGTTAGATGTTTTACTTATTGTATTTATCCTCTCAGCAGTGTCATTATATTTTTTCAGTTTTCTAGGAATTTCTGCTCCGGTAAAATATTGGACCATTTTCAGACGGTTTAGCCTGACAGTTTAAATTTGTACACGCTGTTATTCAACTTATTATCGCAATACGTATAATAATGATTATTGTCCATTTGTACCTTTATATAACGTTTTTAAACCAATATTCGTGTTTCGCGACCAAAACATATTTCGACCAATTTATCAAACGACCAATTTCAGTAGACCGATTTTACCACGACCAATTGACGTAAACTCGAATCCATCATAATAACCGAACGCCTCTGTGCGAGTTCACTATTTATACACGTATAAAATACACACACACACACACACACACACATAAAAACAGATATATATGTACATTATATTTATATTATACTCAAGTAATTCCTAATTTTATAAATTTGAATATTTTACGTAAATACTAAAAATTGATGGCATTGCTAAATTATGATTTCCACGAAACATTGTAGCAAAACAATAAGATAATATAATATATATTAAAAAGGAAATTATAAATAATTTGATTGTAATATAGGTATGCAAAATAATAAAAACAAATTATAAAATTTGACGAATAAATAATAATTCACCGAGAATATTCATTCAAATTCTTATTTTTGATATGTTTTAGTATGTTTTAGTAAATACATTGATTTGAATAACATTTAAAGAGTGTCATGTAGCTATAACATTCACACTTTTTTATGACATTTTTACTGTAAAAAGTAACATTTTAATGTATATAAATATTAATTCAAATGATTCATTTTTGAGCCATTTAACTTTTTTTATTCAGATTAGAGAAATGTATAATAATTTTGGAAAATAAGAGGGTTACAATGATTAGAAAATTATGGTAATTAAAATTAATCTATTAGCGTTATATAGTTTGTTAAAATCGTCTGAGTATAATAAATATTAGATTCAATAATACTACGGAATATAAATTATGCATACGTTAATCATACGGTGCGTAAATTATTCAAACTACAAAATTTCGGAGAAAAAATGTATTTTTATTTTATATTTTTAAATTTAAATTTAAACTAAAATGCATTATATTACCGCTTCTATTAACAGACATACATATTTATTTTACCATATTATACTTGATCGTGAAGTACATTAGTTTTATTTTAAATTATTTAAAACAATTAAACACATGTTCATTGTACTTGTTTTTTTAATCATTATTTGATTATCCAAATCCCCTTGGTCCCAATTAGTGCGAATAATAAAATTGTACACTAATTACATTTTTTTATAACTACTTAAAGGGGACTATATTATCATTTACGCAAACATTTTATTAATTAAAAACTTCTCATTTAAGTTTCAATTAAGAAGCATTTACAATTTTTCCAAAATATCAAAAAACTTCAATTTAGAGTACAATAGATTAATTGTCAATTGAAAAAAAAAATCAGGAGATAAATTTCAAATTTAAATTTGATAACATTTAATTTATCTTTGGGCTAGAATTAAAAAAAATATCAATTAAAAAATAAAAATAAAAGTTCTAAATTTTAAATATATATATAAAATATAGTGACAACAATTTTTAAAAATTATAGTATGTCTAGTAATGCTATGATGAATATTTAATGAAAAACTTTACAGTATCTGCGGTTTTTTATTTTTGAAATAAAATTAAACACAAAAATTTCAACTTTTCATACAAAAGTACAATTAATTTTTTACTTTTATTTTTGTAAGTACTAACAGGCCCAATTAAACCATAAACTACACTCATAGTTGAATATCAAACCATTTTTAATGCTCCTTAAGGTAATGTAAAAAAAAAAAAATTCTAAATTAATTACTTCACTTTAAATTAAAAATATTCTATATTATCTATAGAGAGCATTTTTTTAATCGTACAAACAATTACAACAATTAAAATTATTGTAAATATTGTTCTTAAGCATAATTAAAAAATATAAAAACCTGAGTTTAAATGAATATATAAAAAAATGGGGTATATATGCTTGTTAAATCACGCTTAGGTAGATAGTATTATTTTACCTGGAACAATGCTGCCAGCCGGCCAGTACCAGCTCTCTGCTCAATCCGTGCAAGTTCAGGTCATTCATAAATAGACTCATAGCCTGTAATTCATCTAAGTTGTTCACTCTGCAATCAATAATTAATATACAGAGTTTAGTCATTACCATATCTATGTTAAAAAAAAGAGATTAGACGTGTATTCTTAATATTATTTACAATAATACATTTCAGTACATAATAATATTATATATATAACAAACAAGATCAAATTTGTTGACTCGTATTACTCATATTATCTTACACTTACGTTAAAACTTATTAATTAAAGCATATACACACTCTATAAAACGTCAACACAATTTTTGTGACAATAAGATGGTTTTTCACAATAGTGATAATTTTTAACGTAAAATAATAATTAATTCGACGAACCGTTGATGATTATATTTATAAACGCTGTGTGATCTTTAAAAATATAGCAACTATACTCCAAACGTATTCGTTATAATATTTTAAAATGCATTTTATTATTTTTTAGAGAAACTAATCAAGATGAATATGTTATTAAATTTATTATTATACTAAACAATTTTAGTTACAACCTTTAAATTATAAATAATTCACAATATTTCGTTATGAACATAAAAATTACCGATATTTTTATCAAAAATCATATTATTCCTATTAATTGGGTAATTACATGAAAAAATATAATAAATATTAATTATATTTTACGATAAATATATATTTTTAATAACTTATGAGTGCACAAATCCCGGATGTATTTATTTAGTTTCTAAGAGCTTAATACTCGTATATTAAAAATATATATTATAAACAAATACAATCTGAAAGATTGTCTGAATTAAAAAATAAAGTAAATTAACTAACAAAAAATCACTAGGTAAATATATACTCAACAAACAAAATGTATAAATATCTCACTATTCAAAGAGTATTATTATTACATTTTTAAAACAAATATCATTAAATAATTTTTTTATGGATAAAAATTTAACTTCTAGTATGTTTTAAATTCTTGTAATTAATATTTATAAAAGTAATTTATTTAGTTAAAAATTATTTATAATTTAAATTATTATATCATTGTATTAAACATATTATGATAACAAAAACATTTTAAACCAATATGAAATTAATTATACAATTTCTCGTCTATAGCATAAAGACGTTATAAAATAATTAGACAATTCATTAGGTATTTGAATTTTATGCTTTTATACGATTGCACTTTTATGATTTAGCATTTTTTAACATAATATGCAATATACACTTTCTGTTTTTTTAAAAAACATCTCTAGAGAATTAACAAAAAACTGAAGTTCAGTTTGTAAAAATATATATTTTCAATTTACTCACACGGGACTACATAAGAACACGACCACGTCAATCTCCTTGAAGTGTCTCATCTGCCCTTTGAGAAGTATACTCCGTGATCCATAACTACCCCGTCTATCCAAGGTGGCTGGTAACGGACTCACTGATTTTTTTTCTCCTTTTGTTGAAATAAGTTCTTTTTCGGGCATCGTAGCATGTGTTCCACGTAGCACTTCAAGTTCAAAGGTCACGGATGCCAAATACATCAACTAAAAAATATTTAATAAATAAATTGTGTTAAAACTTGAAAAGATAATAGCATATCGTAACATATTTGAAACTACGTGCTTACATTTACATAGTTTGATTCATAATAATATATTATGGTAAAAAGTAAAACATAGATTATTACTGTAACTAAAATAATATTAACATTAGCTGTTAATTACGTATTGTTGTATAAGTACTTTTACAACAATTTACAAAACTAATCTAATTTTTGTGACATAAAAATATATTCTATATTATTAATTATTATACATGAAATATTATCTGCCAAAACACATCCCTTTACTGCGTATTGGTCATTTCGGAAAATGTTTTCTTCGATTTAAAAGTTTTTAGATCGTTCCATTTTCTTTATGGTTAAAACTCCGACAGACGAATCATTTGACTTATAATTTACTGTTCAAACAAAGTTCACCGTGAGTATTCGATTTCTTTAATGAAATTTCTACATAGTAAATAGTTGCTTATACGATTATTATTTTTCTTTAATTTCATGCTTTACTATATTTACATCATGTTTGCCCATTAACTTTAATACTTCCAATTACAATCAATACTTATCCATAAGCACAAAGTATTGTTATTTTCATGTAAATTATTTATCATCAATTGTGTGATCTCAAAATACTATAAATATAATATTTAAATATTAAATAATAATTTATTTGTTATATGTAGTAATATTAGCTTTATAACTTTTAGAGCACAGACCACCATTATAGACATACAACTTTTTTGAAAATGTAAATAATTATCTGTAGACATTGAAATATATGTTTTGAAAATGATTTCATAATTAGGTATGACACGTATACAAAATATAATAAATTATAGAATTAGATAGTTAATTTTAATTTTTAAACAAAAATTAATTTATTGTAAGATAATTATATTTACGAATTACAGTAACGTATTATAAATCTTAAAATTTAGAATAGTAATTCAACGTTAATTTATTCCTGTTCAATTTCATCTAAATAATAAATAAATAAATAGGATGTATGATTTGAGCCAGTTGCCCTCTATCTGAATCACACATTAAAACCAGATCAAATTAGTCTTGTATAATATAAAAGTGTGTAAATGATGTGAAACTACTATTTCTCAATAAAGTATCTCTTCCACTGGGCGATCTCTTCAATCAGTTATTCCTGTCTGTCATTGTATTAATTATCACTTGAGCTTATTGTTCAAATTGTAACAGGTCACTTAATTATGTAATAAAAAAAACGGAAGAGTAAACACGTTCGGTGGTATATAATATGTATTATATTCACCACAATAATATACCTACTGTAATATATTATTTCGAGATGAACAGACAAGTCGCTATTAATGAAAAGTAATTGTTCACGAAAACGTCGTGCGGCGGTCGTCTCAGGACATTGACAGAACATCTACAGTCAGTGTTGTATTAAATTTAGACTCGAATGTTGGTCGAACCCAGATACTATGTATGCATATGATTGCGCATAATAATTGTCCGGAATATTGTTGGGTTAATCGTCCACAAACGACAGCATTATAGTTGTGTACGATATTGCGCTGCTATACTAGAGCGCAATAATTACACTATATCGACGTCGTTATACGGAACACCATTTGGAAATTTCGATTATTTTGCAGACGTTTCGACAACGATTTACAGTAGCGTAGATACACTGAAACGAATATATTATTATCGCCATCTAAATAGTATTTCTCGTCGACTAGGAAAACCATTATTGTATCTACTCGAATGACAGAAATTCCAGACATAGAATTCCGGCATCCATAAGTAATACAATATAGTATGTATAGCTAAATAATATATATTATTTATAAATTAAGGAAATAGTGCTATACTAACGAATACCATCCACCAATAATACAAATCAATTTAATTAATAATTAGTATTTACAGTCTGACTATGATACATTGCTGATAAAATTACAATTATATATCTATACGATTTCGAATTATATTACCTTGACGGTTTTATGGATGGAGGGTTGACTTTTTTTTAACTTTATTGAACGACAAAATCATATAATATATTTTATTACCGTATAGATAATTAATAATTATATTTAGTAGGTACGAATTAATATGAAATTTCGTTAACCCGTCGAGGTTACTATAAGATATTAAGTAATAGTTTTGATTTCCTCACTTTCCAATTCCGTTCAAATACAGTCGGAAAATTGATAATATTTTAGTACGCATTATTACTAACAATTAATAATTATTAAAATATACATTTTTGTCGTAAAAACAATATAGTTTGTTATTGTTATTTCTGTACAAGTAAAGCTATCGAGACGACTAAATTTAAAAATAATAAATATATTAATATACATCATAAATCATAATAGATATATATTTTTTTTAGTTTTTGAATAAAAACATACACTATTTTTTTTCAATTCAGACGATGATTATGTTAATTTCCAAAATTGTATTGAAATAAACCACGGACAAACAATAATAACAAATTGATGTTTATTTTAAGTGTGCAGGTTTATTTTTTTAAATACTTTCTCTATAATAATTTTGTATTAAAATGATAACAGTTATACTTTTAAAATATTACCTGAATATTAAACGAAATCTTTTGTGAAACGGTAACAAAACAAATATCACAATTATTTTTATTCTAAAATGATGGATTGATGAATTTACTCAAAATAATAATATTACTATGATGTCTGTGATCTATGTATTTTTCTATTACATTATGATTTCCTGAAAAATCCCAGTGGGTGCAAATAAATAGTAAAAATAAATAAATTAAACGAAATATAACTTATAGATAATAAGTAAAATAATATCAAGTAATCATGTTAACTATATTTATATACTTTATAATAAATTATTATTAGGTATTTCATAATATTATTATAAGTATAACTTGAATTTTGAATTAAAATCTTTAAAAACTATCAAGAAATGCCTTTCCAACACAATAATGCTGTCCTTAATAAACAATCTAAATTTTATAAATGGGGGGCGCAAGTGTTAGGAAGATGATAGTTGAACTTTTATAATTTTTTAACACTTTTTTATCTTAATTTAACTAATATTAACATAGAAGTAAAGCATCAAAATTAAGCATGTGCAATAAATAAACAGTATTCTCGGAATAAATGCGATTATTGTGATATCTCTTACATAGTTATTTTTTATTTAAATAAAAAAACGGTAAATATATCACATCCAAAAAATGCTTTATATGGGTATAACGTTAACAAACATAAATAGTACGATTGAAATCATATACGGATGAAAAATACCTAAAAACTATTAAAGCTAATAATATGAAAACATCATTTCTAGGTATAGTACTCGAATATTGAATATCTAAATTTATATATTATAATCTCGCGCAATTTATTTTAAATATGCGCTGAAAATTAATAAAATTATGTGAAAACGATGAATAAAAAATGCTTTAAAAATTGAAGAAACATCAGAAAATGCAAAATAAAAATAGGTACCACCTTTAACCTTTCAAGTACTTGACTGTTACACAAAATAAATTATGGACTTAGAATTTAATGTCTTAAATCACTCCAAAAATAATTCACTTTTCAATGAAATCTTACTACTAAGTATAATATACTCATATATTGTCTTTCTATGCCATCAATTTTGACTAATTTAGCTCAGTTTGGTTACTGTACTTAAAAACAACTTCCACTAACTAATGTAGCTTATAAGTAACGGATATAAGTTCCCGAGTTCAAAATAGTAAACTACGATAATTTAAATGTGTGAGGAGTGTATCAAAAGATTTTAACAATTATTTTTTATTGTATAATGATGATAATATTATCTCTACTTTTCTTAAATGTTTCTGGGTCGAATTATGAATTTAATTGTCATTTATATCATCATAACATAACATAATGCTGTCACAAAATTTACTTCGCTTAGACCAGAGTGCACTCGTTTTTTTTTTTTTAATTTTATAATTAAAACGCATTCAACGGGTCCAAAAACGTCGAAAAGGTTTATAAATTTACAGCACACATTGACGCAATGATGTAAAAAACCACGACCAGTGGCGTCAGTACGACATACCTATTAAACACATGTCGAAACGAATAAAGAATTATCATTCCGATTAACTTGGCAACTAAATCAAATCTATCCCAACCACCCACTCAACCAACCTCGTTTACCACATAACCACCGCCACCCGAAATCTACACGAACGCCGTAATTTTTTGCGTTAAAACATAAAACGTGTAATAACATAATATATACGATCACATTTTTTTAATGAAAATTGTCCCTTGAAAACTACCTAAATGAGTTTCACAATTACTTCATAAATATTATTATGATCACCAGTGCGGACGTCACGCGTTGAATCTGAGACGTCAATTTTCATCACATCATCGCAGTGGTGGACTTGAATCGTTTTTGTCAGGCAGTCGTGTCTCTTCGTGCAATTTATATGTTAATGATGGACGATAAAAATTATTGTTTTTAATTCATTTCGTGTCAATTTTGTGAATCCGTTCGGTTGGAAATCCGTCGCCATTTCAACGAGTCACGTATAAGTACCTAACGTAACGAGACTGTTTATATAAATATATAATCGCGTATAAATTTATGAACTTTATATTTTAAAATTAATATTTTATTTTCACATTTAACGGTGTTACTTAATTAAAAATAAATATTATATAGCCAGATTTTTAGTCACCCAGTTTTTGTGCCATAAATCATAATATAAATTGAATTTATTTTTGTCAAAGCAAAAGTCAATATCAATAATACGATAAAACGAGTACTTAATTATCTCCTCTAGTACTAGTTTAAAACGATTCATGTTATACTGAATAAATCAAGTCAGTCAAAAAAAACCTGTCAAATTCAATGCATGTCAAAGAATTTTTATTCCGATTTAACATCAATCGAACTGCACAATATTGGCATACGAATATAATAATATGGTCATGTTGAATTATGTATAAGATGTGTGTGTTTACCAAGAAAACAGCAAAAGCGAAAAAGTGGAAAAATTTATTTCACAAAAAAAAAAAAAAAAATAGCGTAAATAATAAGTTATGTTTTTTTTATAAGTTATGTCATTGGGTTAAAAAGAACACAGTTAGAAATTGAATTTCTTAGATCTTGTTTTATTTTTAAAGTTCAAAAGAAATATTTTTTGTAAGAAATGCGTTCAAATAATTCACTTATGTGGATATTTTGTTTAGAAACTCGTGATTGTATTTTACTTTGAGTTATATTGAGGGGTAAGTTACTCGTAAAGTTGTGGAATCCGTTAGAAGTGCTAAATAACTATAAAGTTTATTAAATTTGTCTATTTTTATTTATTTTCTGATTTAGTGACTGTATATTTCAATATTTAATAATATTAAGTTAATCGAGTCATCAAAACTTACGTTTTATTGTCGACCGCAAAAGTATTATCTACATACTATGGTAAAAACGATTAAAGAACGTGCTGTTATGTAATATAATACACTATTAGGTATGTAGATTCAATTTTAGTCTTTCTGTTAACATTTTTTTCTAGTTACAAAAGTTGTAAATAAATTACACTTAACATTTTATAAAAAGATAATAATTAGTTCAATATTACTTACGTGTATACAAATTTTTTTTATATTTTAGATACAAATATACATAACCTTAATTATTATTAAAAAAATATTAATGTTTTATAATAATCGATTTTAATATTCAAAAAGACATTATGATCTCCTTTTTATATAAAATAGTATTCTGGCTAGCACCTTAAGTAAACTACGTATTTTAATTTCAATATATCAGTTTAAAAAAAAAAAAAGAAAGTATATGCGTAGAAAAATCAAAAGTTTTTGTTCGTAATTGGAAATACTAATACTGCCACAAAATTTCCTCCTCAAATATCTAGGTAAAAAATCTGAGAGGAGGCCACTCAGAGATGTCAAAGATTGATTCTGTATAAGTAATTAAGTAATCACAAAGTAAGGAAGTGATTCGAGTGTTTATATTAGAGTAGCTTAAGGATAAAATATGTGAATAATGTAGATTTGAATAGGTACAGTAGTGGAGAATAAGTTTCTCGCATCTGAATAATTTTAAGTTCGTCAAGTCACTATTTATTATATATTTGTACTTATGTAATATCTTGTATGAATCTAGTGTTTGTACGGGTGTACTCACGTTGGTCCACGTAAACGGTATGTCCCTAGGTCGCCTGAGCACCAAGTGTTGGACCAACTGGTGACCGCGAACGTCTTCGGCCGTGCGCGCACCCCACACGCTGAGCAGTTTCTCGCCGGCGTCCATGATGCGTATGTCCTGGTCGATGACGACGCCGAATGGGAAAAGCCGGAGCAGCAGCCCTATAGGTATAGACGGAAGCTGTAGACTTCGGTCGAAAGTATGCACGGCCGCGTGCTGGTCGATGAACGCGCTGTTGTCGAAGTCCAACCGGTACTTGACGAGCACGTTCTGCAAACCAGCCGCCGTTGCCGCCGCAGTCGCTGCCGCCGAAAGGTGTGAAGATACCGTGCTCGTGGATGTACTTTCATACTGTAGCACGCGAATTCTGAGGTTCGTGTCATAAACCTCCTCGGCGATCTGGTCCAGTTGCCCTGCAAAATAAGAGTTTCGGAGTTATTTTTATACCCGTTGCTCGTTACCTATACGAGTATACTACGAGTGCTGGATATTGTGAGTGCGATCAATTTACAAGGGTTTTAATTATTTTGACAAGTACAAGTATTCGATTACTTTTGTATGTTAATCAAAATCTAGACAAATCAAATATTTTTCCAAACTTAATTTTCAGTCATTTTTCAACAATCTATAGCCTGTATAAATGGTGAAACTTTCACTGACATACTTTTTATTTAGGCGATGTGATAACAATAGAAATAAAAAAAAATGTTCGGACTTATTAAAATATTTGTCGAAAGCAACATTACATAGTAATGAGTCGGGCTCGAGCAAAAACCAGACGTTGAAAAAATATTATCTTTATAAAATAATTTCAATGTACAAAGTTGATATAACATGTATACATAATATATTATTAATTTATATAGCTAAATCGGACTTCGTTAAGAATAGGATAAATATATAACCTGTACGCCAACGCCATTAATCAACAGATTTTATATGTTTTTATCATTGAATGATTTAAACACAACACAAAACAAAATTACAACACTATTCTAAGTTATAGAATTTTCCATATTTTTTTACTCGCGTATCTATCTTAATCTATAGGTAAAATATTACAATAAACTTTCAACAAACATAAAAATAATATTAATCGCTCAACAAATATTTATTTAACTATACATCATTGTTAGATACCTACATAATATGTCAAATTGCATATCGAATAAAACTGGTTATCCTTGTTATTTCATGTGTTTATAGTAATAAATTCAAAATAATAAAATTGTTAAATTAGCGTTAAACATAAAATATTAGTTATTGTTAAAAAAAAATTCAATAAGTCGTTAAATTAAAAAAAAAAAAAAAATGTAAATGCTTTTAGTTTTTCACTCTCTCTCTCTCTCTCTCTCTCTTATTCAAACTTAAAATATACCCCTGCGTATTGGTCTGTAATATGTTTTTTATTTATAATATACATACATATATATACATATATCGTTAACTGTTTACATGATTACAAGACGCGGTCGAGGTAGTGCGTTGATACGCACATAATATTATATACGTATTAATTTATAAATAAATATTATTATTGTTTAGTGATAAAGTCTCGACATATTTTTACAGGCCCTTCAAAAAAAGCGTTTCATATAATTTCCCAAAAGTTAGGCATACGGACTACATCAAATCACTATTATTTACGCATTACGCTACACCACAGTTACAATAATAAAAAGTATGGAAAATAATAATGGCAATAATAAAAATACATGATTGTATGTTTGACGAGTTTGATTGAATATTGCTGCAAAGGTTTAAAAAGTTTCTCCGTGAACATTACAAACACTACAAACACATACTATGTTGAAGTAAGTGCATTTCTGAGCGTGTATGGCGTTTATATTATAATAATGGATTACCCGGTGCACAAGTGCACGATAATGTAATGTATTATACTGACAACGGGTTGGTTGCGTTGCGTGCATTTGATTTTCCACGGACGACCTTTGAAAGTTTATGGATTATGACAGTACGGACAGGACGATAAAATTGGTTAGGGTAAAATTCGTTATTTAACGTTTTCAACGCTTGCAGTTGCGGCGTGTTTTTCCGGCGACAGCGAAAGTTTAATTGAACGATTGCCGGAGATGATGTGCACGCCAAATGCATTTGTTTTGGGACTCAATCCACGATACTGCAGCACCGTATAACAATAGTAATTATTTTGCCGAGACTTTTGGTATAACTAATATTACTCTCCCACATAGTATGAATATCACTGTATTATCGCCGTTTCAACTTCCGCTTATCTTCATCGCGCGTGCGGGTGTACAAATTGATTTAGCGGGCATATCGTTATAAAACTGCAGTGTACGGTGCGCCGCAGACCGTCAATCATCCTGTTGCTTTTACAATCCTCACCGTGGGGAACAGATGTTTTTCAGACAGTTCCACGTTATAATAGCTATCATCGGATAAACTTAAAACTTTATGTATTGACGTTAGTGCATTGGCGGGCGCTAAAGCTCTGTGGTGGCGTATGTGTGTTTATATATACATATATATATATAAATACAACAAAAGGAAAATGGAATATCCAGATTAATTTCAATAAAAAAATTACGGTGGTCGTCGAATCGGATTCGATGTGTGCACGCAGGAAAGCGGATATGAGACAAGATTATATACTATTATAACAAAAAGCCAAAGCTAGTATATTATACTTGCCGGGCTTTACGAATAATATCAACATATTATATTGATATATAAATGCTATACCGCAATGGCAGCCGTCATTGAAATACTACGAAATATTATAAACACATCACCGCGTAGGTACTTACTTGCAACTGGATATTTTTCTCTTGATAAATTGTATTCAAATATGTGAATGTACGTATTATTATTGTATGTCGTATTGTGTACTCGACGTCATATTATTATTAAACGTGTAACTAAATCGCAAAAAATAAATTAGTTTTATTTTCGTACAGCGTTGTGAAAATTTTCCAGAAACCCTACACGTTGGTACAATATTATACTTGTATAATATATATGTAAATATTAATTTGATGCAAAGTTAAATTTAAAAATGTATTATATATATACAAATATTCAATTAAACCATTTGAATTAATAACGAAAATTCAATTTTATTTTAATTTGAAATTAAAGACCCACATGTTCCTTCAACCGATAAAAATAAACTGCATATAATTATAATATAATGATTTTTTTCTTATATAAAAATATTTCGCTGTATACCTTTAAATTATATTTAATTTAAGTTATACAACGTTCCTACAGTAAAATATAATGACCATTAATGTGCTATAAATAATTGAAAGTGATGTTGAAATACATTTTGAGGGATTCCTATATTATAATATTTCATCATACTTCCCATATTCTGAACTGTAAATGTAACAATATTATTTTTCTCTTACACTTATATGGTTTCGGGAAACGAATGTAATTGGTTACCATTTTAATCGTTCAAAATCGTAGTGATTCAATAGGTAAAATTAAAATTAATAAATAAAATATTTTTCATTTTTCTGACATATGATTGCGTTAAATTAGTATGTGGTGTAGTAGAAGATAATGATTTAAAAATAAAATTGAAACTTTTATTTTTTTATTTTTGTACCTACTTTTAAAATTACATCACATAACGTCATATTGAATATAATAATAAACGATTAATCTCTTCGTAATTACTGTATACGTTGAAATACTCGGTACACTTTTTGGATGCTCCATAATAGTGTGATATGTTTTGAGTAAGCAATTCAACAAAATATATAATAATTATTATGAATACGCGGCGTTTCGTATAGGCTATTTAGGTACAACGCAGTTGTGAGCGAATTTTTCCAAAATTTTATAGCATTTTATTATTTATTACATTTCAATAACACTAATATTATAATCACATGAAACTAAACGGATAAGCTAAATGTGACCATAAACTAGATCTTCAAAAAAATTAAAAACTAAATGTCTATTCGATTTTTTTTTTAAGTGAATTTTGTTATTTCTTGCTAAAAATGAAATTAAGATAACAAAATAAAAACAACTTAATTTTTCATATTTAAAGGTTAGTTGGATACTTTTATATAAATATACATGTATATGTATATTTAATCTATGTTTTGACTTCTGATAAATTACGCTTTTGAAATAAAATCTAAAATTTTAAATGTTTAAGTTTTATTTAATTGCTATCCAAAACGAATAATTTTTATTAAAAACGTAATTATCATACATGGAGTAGATATTTTTTATTTTATTTTTCTTCATAAAAATGTAACTTAATCGTCGAGTAACACTGCCCGACAAAAAAAAAAAAAATAAATAAAACGCTAAAACCGTAGAGTGACGACGACGCGATTGAATAATATGATCATTGATCACAGCCTATAATTCAACGCGTAATATAGGTCAAATTATCTAACCTAACACACTCTTACCACTGCCCGACCACTACCTCCGGATCGTACGGGCCCTTGAAACACGACGGCGACAACTACGAGCTTCGTTCGCTATCTACGCAAATATACCTCCACCACGCACATACCTCCACAGCGATTCCGTCTACCCTTGGCTGATCGCTATTGTACGCATTCTCATCGTCGTCGCATACACACACACACACACACACACACACACACACACACACATTCATATACATACATATATATATATATGTGGTACTCACCCATGAAGTACTGTGTGAAGCCGCGCCTAGTGCTCCGGTAGACGAGCACGCACCCGTTGCGATCCACGTGCGACATGTACATTGATGGACTCTTCATCTTCGGATACGCGAACCGCATTTGCAGGTGCAGGTTGTCGACGTTCTTGAGGAACTCGCAGAAATATCTGCCCGTCGCCCGGATCGGCGCGTCGTAGCCCAGGTTGCTGAAAAACCGTACGAAGCACCGGCCGAAGTACCGCATAAATCCTTCGGCGGTCGGCTCGACATTCGCCCCGCGACCGTCCGTCGGATCGGTGAGCAGCTGCGCGGCGGCGGCCGCCAGTTCCGGCATCAACCCGTCCGGATATATCTGGTGTGTGTTGAACACGTACCACTTGCACCGGGCCAATCGGACCACTTCCCGCCAAGCGCTCTCGCCGTACTCGAGCTATGGCGTGAACAATAATATTACGTGTAATTGACGCGCATTCAGTAATAAGACTCATTTTGTGCTGGCATCAAACCGAGTCTTAAAAGCAACGTGCACCGTACGAGTATATCAATATTCAGGATCGTAAGCATTAAATCCAACCTCCCCATAACAAAATTGTATATTGAAATGTGTTAACATAAAGTATAGATACAATTTTTATTACACTGATATATTAATTTGTTGTATTATTTTTATACTCAGTATACGCCCTACAATCTGTATACATTTATGATGTCTTAATCACAGACCTGTCATAGGCCTATTGTAAAGCATAAATATGAAATTCTATTAAAACAAATAATATCAATAAAATCGAGTTGGTCGCAGTTGTCAGCTAGTAAGTTATTTGATTAATTTTTCGCAATACAAATACAAGTATTCAATTGAATCAAACATTTTAAAATCAAAAATGTGGCACACATGAATACTGAACAGTTTTTTTTTTTCTATACGCTGAAATAGGCATTAAGCGAAGATAATTAATATAGATTATAAACATATCAGAACTACGAACATCAAATGTCAACAGTAACTCAATAATATAAAAATAAGTACTTAAAAAAAAAAAAATGTCAATGAATCGTTTTTTTTTCTTTTAAGCTCGTAAATAATGCTTTACTTCATAAAAATATAATATATCTACAGTAAGATAATAATATATTTATGTAATAAATACAATAATTTCGAATAAGTACCTAGATGGAGAGTAAAAATATAGAACTAAACGTTAAAAAAAAAAAGTTTATAAAATACTGTTCCAATATTCCAAAATTATACTATTTAGGTGTTATAATATCACATACGTGCACCACATTAACTTATGTCGCACATATAAAATTAACTGATAAGGTTTTGAAATCACAATGAAAGACGATTTTATAACGAAATACTTAAGCACGCTTATAATGTAAAGATTTAAAAAATACACATTTGACATTCACTCAAGAGAGGCGTGCGGGCATACCATTATTTTCACAAAACTAAATCCTGGACGAGACACTTTTTTATAAGATTTATTGAAGAAGGGGATTACTTGATTACGTAATATTATATTTTATATCTCAAACGTACATAAAATATTTTTATGTAACTGATTTCTGTCGGTAACCAATCAGACATTTTATTTTATAGAATTATAATAAAATAGTTTTTATTATGTTATAAAATCAAGTGCCATAGCAATATACGTTTAATAAATTAAATCAGAGATGTTGTATTATTATATATTATATTTAAGCAATAAAACCAATTGATTTTAATTTGTTTGTATGTTATATTGATTTAACAACATTTGATGGTAAAAATATTTTTATAACTCGCAATAGGCACTAATTATATTATTATTTTTTTTTTTAACTATATTCCATACACTTATTTACTTTTATAAATGAGAGAGTTTTCTAAAAGCGTGCAAAAAAAAAAAAAAAACCATAATATTGTGTTTACCAAAAACGAGCGTATTTTAATTACATTTTTTAAAAAATGAAATATTTTTTTTTTTTTAATAATTTTTGAAATATTATTAAAAACCAAATCATCAACTTTTAATTTTTATTAGACAATAAATTATTTAAATTCATTCATGTGTTATTTTAACAATGTGCCAATTAGTATTTTATTTTTATTTTTTTTAATACAAAACTATTGGTATTGCATTAAAGTTGAGTACCTAACCTTCATATTTTTTTATTTTAAATTTTTTTCATGTTTATTCTATTGCTATTCAAAATATTAATTTATTTCTAAATATTTAATAGGTATTAGTGTAATAAAATTTTATAACAACTACAACTGAAAAATATTAAATTGAAAATTGAAACCAATACATCATAATTTTATAGATATTTAAATAAAAATAATAACAATATTTTTTCTGTTCAAACAATCTTTTTTATTGAAATTTGTAGCCAAATAATTAAATAATTTACTATAATTATTTTATCAAATAATAAATCTTGTAGCTTATTAAAACAATAATCTATAAAAGATAAATAAAATACTTTTTTAAATAACTTTTTTAAGATATTTTCAAAATACAAAATAAATACTTTTTACTAACTCAAACTTAACCGTTACTTTTTATAAAATTACTTTATTTTTTACCTAAAATAATAATATTTTAATAATTTATTCATAATGTTGTTTATATTGACGTTAATAAAAATAATTTAGATTAAATAATTATTAATTTTAATTATTTACTTATATTTATATCTATCTTTGTATAAATTAATAAATGTTATTATATAAATCCTTTGTCAATACTGTTCATTCGTAAAGTGTAACAAAGTTTAGGATCTTCTAATTTTATTACCATTATATTATAAGCTATATTATACAAATTAATATTCATTAATGGAAATTACTGAGGTATTAATGCGAGGTATTCAATTATGTTCGGAATACTCATCAATAGTATTCAAAACAAATATTTAATGAGTATTGCATATTAAAATAAACGTTATTATTGTTATTATAAATAAACAATTGAGTACTTACCTATTTATCTAGAAAATATTTTTTTCAAAGTATTTTACCAAATCTTAATAGTCAATGCTATTATTAATTTAATATATAAATAGTGATTGTCATTGATAAATTAAAGCTATAAAGACGATGCAGGTGGATGTGAGATGTTAAACGTCACGTATATTATACGCTTATTTCTTAAGTTTGTATTATGTAATAAATATTATGTAGGGCGAATAGGTAATTAAACGTTAATGTTTAATTAGAAGATTTGCAACGAAAAGGTGATTATGACTTAAGAACCAATATGTAACATTGTAACGTGTATTTCATACAGTGAATGCAACTTGTTAATTATAAAATATATATAAATGTATCTATTTATAACATATAATTAGTCTTTTATTCAAATTTAAAACAGCTTATGAATCGGTGGTCGATTAAAACAACGGAGACCGCAGATAGTATACTTAATGTAATCATACAATATATTAAAATATAATCCATATTAGAAAAGTTTAGCGTAGACTTAAAAAAAATAATAAAAAACTCTGTTATTTTAATTTACCTATCGAGTTATGTTATGTATGTACTAATATATTATATATATATATATATATATATATATCAAATCAACACCTATACGAAATAAACTCAAATTGCTACACATAATATAGGCAGATAGTTTTCGTAGTTAATTACTTATTGGGCTAGGGACTCTCTGAACAATCGAAAACATCAGCTCATCAAGTCGAGTATAATTTTCACGCTATTTGAATGGAAATAACAATCAAGTTGTAATTTTAGTCACGCGTGACGAGATCGGGCACGGAATACATAAATCCACCGAGATATGGCAATTTACTGCTTAAAATCAGTGTAGAATGTAGACAAAAGCATAAGAGAGGGTTACGTGAAAATCTTGTAATTTCAAAAATGTCAGGAAAATAACAATATACCAGTGCTAATCGCTATAATAAATTGAGATATATTTTAAGTTAAATTTGTATGTTATTGGTCTTACGATGAATTTTTCTAATTTATTAAAATGATATCCAAAAATTATGTCATCGAATATAAAGTCTAATATTTATTGTATTATGCAAATGTCGTTTTTTGGTGAATATATAATTCAATGTCTACATTTTTACATTTTATAGAATAAGTACTGAGTAAATAAAGAAAAACCTATTGCATTCGTTAAATCTAGGCCACCATGGTAAACAATGGTATAACGATTCACCACAATACTATTCTATAGTAATTTAATCATACAAATATAACACTGTCATAAGCGCCTGCAGTTTGATATGAAACACAGTTGAATGTGTAGAAGTAATAATATAATAAAAATATTAATAACCCATCAAACGTTTTGAGTGGCGGCTACCCTCAAAATAATATATGTTGATGAAGATATTTCTGAGAACTCACCTACTTACAATGGATAATATTGATATAAATGTATGTATTTAATTGAAAATATAAAAACTAGATAAAAATTAACCATATGTTAGGTATCACGAAATATACCAATATATTACCAATACCATTTAATTAGATAATCACGAATAATATTTATTTTTTTAAATTATGTCAAATTTTAATAATTTAAAAATAATTTTGTCTGACTCTATACTACAATAGAAAAAAATTTTAACTTTTATTTTGAAAGTAAAGACTCGGATCAAATTGAATCTATTATTAAATTTAACCTAACCTAGCGACTTACGTAAAAATGTTCCAGTATTTTCAAAAATAATTGAGGAAAATAATAATGATTTGGGAAAAACTGAAGTTTCTACACAAAACAGTTTTCAACAAAATTAATTTTTTTTTCTACTCAACTCAAAAATGTATATTATGCAATTATAAAGACTTAAATTTTCGCCAAAAATTAAAAATTACTAGACATGGAAAGGCTTTCAAAATATTTTTTATTAGTTATACTCGTATAATCATTAACTACGAAACGGCTCGTTATAATATTTTTTTTTAGATTAATTTACAGTTAATAAGTCAGTACACAATAAATAATTATCAATTACTCAAATTATATAAGTTTCTCAAACAACATAAGAAAGTTATTATCTAAACGGATTGTAAATAACTAAAATCTTACCAAAAGTAAAAATCGAGTAAAAAAAATTACTAATAAATAATATATAACTCATAAATACCTGAATGAAGTATTGTACGCTTTCTAATAACATCCCGTACATTTTGTGAAATTTCCACAAATAAACCGTGACACAGGAACTTCAATAACACACTGATGATTATTTTTACAGGTAAACATAATGGTTCCGTTGCGACGCACGATTTTTAAACGTGCGTCAAATAATTAATAATCATTTGACGCAATTGACAATGTCTAGCCCGTAAACATCATAATAATGAAGAAAAAATAATTCAATTCGACGAAGGACAATATATTTTATGATTATGTTCAAAACAAACTAAGTACCAGGTACACATAAAAAATA